TCGCGTCCGTGTACACGTCACGAGCGAGACCAAAGTCTGCCAGCTTGGCAACGTTGTCCTCGCCCACTAGAACGTTCCGCGCCGCCACGTCGCGATGCACGATCTTCAGCAGCTCTAGCTCCTGTAGCGCCCTGGTCACACCCATGGCCAGTTGAAGCAAATCCCTCAGCGTCACGGCGGAGTCCGGAGCTCGACACTGCCGAAGGTATCCTCGCAGATCCCCCCGGGGAACGTACTCCAGAACTATACGCTTCGGTTCCGAGCTGGTGATAACGCCGTATAGCTGGATGATGTTAGGATGTACTCGGCGCTCACCGTCGTTGAGGACCTCGGCGTGCTCGTGCAAGGCGATGAGGATATCTGCTTCGCGGTAAAAATCCCGGTCCCACTGGCAGCCTCTTCCCTCCTCCAGTCGGTCGACATTTGCAGACTTGGCTACCACTGTGACCTGTCCTCTCTCCCGGACATTCAGTCGACCCAACACAACGTGACCAAATCTACCTTGTCCGATCAACTTCTGTATCGTCAGATCTTCGTTCTTCAGTTCCCAACGTGCCAGCCTTGAGGCGGTTTTACGATCAGGACATTCTGGATTAGCCAACGCTTGCTGGAGTGGAATCGCAGCCTCATCTTCCTGTTCTTGTAAAATGTGAAGACAGTCACACAACTTGACCCCTTTTTGAAGCAGTCCCCTTTTTACCAGCACAATGCCGATGATCACTAGGAGCGGAATCAAACCAAAAAGGGCATACAGGGACAGGGAATTGTTACTAAGCATTTGCTGGGGACGACTAATGATAGTGGGACGCTCTGTTACAGTCAATAGATACTCCTGCTCGTGTTTAGACCCATTGTCTGTAAACACGGTACACGAGTAGACTCCATTGCTGTGTGAGTTAACAGTAACGTCATATTCTGTGACGTTCGCTGTAACGTTTACTAAAACAGTAGTTTGATTGGTAAGAAACGACCGAAACTTCATGACCATGACTGATATGTTGTGTACGTGAAAGCTTTTGCACACCAATGTCACGTTTTCACCCACGTAAACGTTTCGTGCAGGCGTGGCGTATAGGACTACAGCAGGGGTGGGGATGCCACAGGCCACGCCTTTCCAACCAGGCGCGCACAGACAGGCTCCGTTAAAACCGTGACAGCGTGCTCCGTTCTTACAAACACAGTCCTTGTCACATTTACCGCCGTATTTCCCCTCCCCACAGCCCAGTAACTCGAAACTCATGGAAAAAGTCATCTTCCCTCCCTTTGGGGAGAGTAATGATGAATTTACAGCTGTGTGACAGACAAATGTCATATCTGTCCCTGTTTTCAACAGGCTAACGTGTAGATAAACAAGTAAATCTTTCAGCTCTCCTTTCGTCCAGGTACGAGTTACGGCGTTACGGGCGAAGTCCTGTTCGGTTAGCAGTGGTCTTGTATCAAAACCAGGTAAAGGTCGCCCGTTCTCGTATATGAAAAAATCAAGATTGGCTCCGGTTTCTTTGTTTGGACACCTCATTTTTCTAAAGTCGTCTTCATACAGAGAGCCCACCCATTTCTCGTCCTTCTCACTGATGATCGCTAACGTTAGTCCCATTTCACACATGTCATTGTCGGTGTCAAAAAGGAACCTATCTGTGTAACGCATGTATTGATTGTGAAATTTTTTATCAGCCGGATCCGCTCGGAAAACAACCTCCCCGAAGTATGTTATGTTGACTTCAGAAAAGTCCGTCAAATTCACGAGCCTAGTAACATTTTCCGGCCGCCAGGCTGTTCCACAAGTGCTGTTGTACACTGGCGGGTAGCCCAAAACGTCCTGTATGATAATGGTCACGTTAAACGTAGAGTCAAGCTCGCCTGCGGCTCCAAATACAAAAACCAACAGTCTATAAAATGACTGGATTTGACGGTCCAGTGGATTTGCCACTAGAATGACGCCATTTGTTATTTCAAACCTGTTGTATTCATCCCCGGCTGCTATTTCATACTCACTCCCGATTGTGGTGTTTACAACATGTGATCCCACGGGAAGATTTTCGTCAATAGCGACGGTTACGTACGTCGTCTGATTCGGTGATGCTCCCACAAGCAACGTACACGTATGAAAGTACAAGAGAAAACATATTTGGAGTTGCCAACTTTTCGCCATGTCTCTTGCTCTTTTTTAGTAGCGTTTAAGTCCAACTGAAAGGTGGAGAATGCTGGCGATCTTGTGGTTATGGTTGTTGACTTAGAATCTAAAGGTTCGAATCCCCTCTGAGCAGGCCATAGTGTTGACCACTGAAAGGTCCCTGTTCACCTTTTTCCGAAAGTGCACTTCAGATCAATGTAAAAGGAACAACCCTAGGTTCGGTTAGGGACGTCCTCTTGGATGGTACGCGTACACCAAAGCCGTGTTTGAAGAGAGCCACACCTCCACTTCGTGAGCAAGACCCGACCGAACTTATCAAAAACAGTAAAGAGCCCGCAACCTCGTGTGAGTGGATCAATGAAGCCTGATACACCCGGTCTTACCACTTTGTACAAAATTGCTGGGCTGTTACCCTAAGGCGGTCTACCCGTTTTGCAAAAGGTAAAAATCTCAGGGCTCGTAAGGACAACGTATGCTTGATACAAGAAAGTTTGAGAGTTTCTTCAGATCCACCGTAGAATAGAGACGATCCAGATGCACACAGAATGACACAGACCAGTAGTGGTAGCTTCTATAGCTTACCCCCTTAAACAGTGAGTTTAAGGAAGATGGCGCTCTTGTACTAACGAAGACTTTACGATGACCCGAGTTCCTGCAGTACGTATCCAGGTAGGCGAAAGATTGCGATCCAGGGCGAATGTTCGTGTGACATAGATAGATGGAGAAACTGGACAGCAGCCGAAACTCAGTATTTCAGGAAGGAACAGCGCTGTAGTAGACAGGTGGTGGGTGGAGTCCGTCTTTCGTCAGATCTGTTTATCTGGACTTCTGCGTGATAACTACGTGACTTCCGCCAATAGAGGTCAAGTACAAAATGTGCGCTGATCCGTGAAAAACCTCAAAAACTTTGGTTCCGTTTAGATATGATAGTTTATTGACAGTACATGTATAATTTGGGAGGTGATAATTGGATATTCATAAAATTTTTCTACAGTTTAAGGCCCTGATGGCAGGAAAAGGGTTTCGACTAAAGGGAAAGATGACACTCCCCCTTTCGGGCCCCGTAACTTTTCGGTATGCGTGCAGATGCGGCTCCTAGCGGAACTTCAACAAACTGATGAAAAGGTTGGCTGTACATTCGAGCTACATGTACTACAACATGAACACAAAGGTCAATGACCTGCACTAAGTACATCTCTGATGTATCATAAATATACATACTTCTGACCTTGTCACAAGTCACGGTTTAACGTACATGTACACTGTGTATCCATGCTGTAGTTTATTAAACATCACACACTAGGAGGATGTTCTTTGCTTTTTTCAGTGAGTTCTCTCACTGCACACATATACTAGTACTCCATAAAGAAAATTCAATGTGCTCAGATATGAATTATAAAGTAAGGCTTCAGGTATAAACAATGACAAAAGTACAACAATGACTGTGCTATAGTTTCATGTTTAATTCACAGAAAGAAAACATTATGTGATTGCTCATTTTCCTCTTCCTCATCTCCAAACAAATAAAGGTAATGACCTGGACCAGACGTCTGTCACCATGGCAACTAGTGCTGTAGCAGACACCCTGTGGTGTTGGGTTACATTATGTAGCAGGTCAGAGCTGGAGGGGCTGGTCACTATACGTATATGTACATGAATGTGTTTGAGTAAGAATAAACAGAGCAGTAGTTTCTGTGGGCTACACCATGTGAAGGTAAATATTAAACATTTGCTTTGCCAATGTCACAAAATACCTTTCTACCTCTATTTCAGTTGGCATTATTCCTGAAATAAGAAAGGGCACTATCCAATGTGTCTTGTTGAGAAGAACTAGCAGAAATCTGAGGTGATGTTTCAGTCACAGGTTGAGTCAGCATATCTGTAGTGAAACTTGAAGCTGCAGCATATGGAGACAGGTTTGGGTTACCAGGTAAAGTTGCAGGGTCAAAGGGCATAGGTGGTGGGGGTGGGGGGTAAGGAGGCCAACCTTGCATAAAGGGAGGGGGAAATACACCTTGCATTGTGGGGTGGGGAGGAGGGAAAGGGGGATATTGCATTGTTGGTTGTGGGGGGAGTGGTGGTGGTGGTGTTGGCTGGGTGGTAGCTGTTTCCTGTGAAGATGTTTTATCTGCTTTAACATCAGTTGGTGGAATATTTGAATTTTCTGGTCTCTTTTTCCAGGGAACTTTCCTCTTTTGTGGCAGAGTCTGTTGTTGGGATGGGGAGGACTGGTAGTACTCTTTTGGTGGTGCAAACTCCGATGGCCTCTCATCTTCAAGTTCTTCTTTTGTTTTAATCCATGGAAAATGTCTCTCTGGAAAAAAAGAAACAAAATTGTCACTTTTGAACTAACTTGTCATGTTCAATTCACATTGAGTTTAGTGATTTTTAATATTTACAAATTACAATACTGCCATTGCAGCTGCATTGTCCACAATATTTGGAAAACTAGCAAACCAGCTAACCACTGCCTGGGTCACAACACAAGACATCATGCAACCTGGATATCCATGGCATCATCAGCAGGTGAATATCTGACATGCCAAAATGAAGCAAAAGCCTAGCTTACAGCTATCAAATGCCTCTTTGGAATGGTGTAAGTCGTTCTGGTGCTTTAAAGTCAAAATATTGTGGACAGAAACATATATAGCTTCTTCCAATGGAGTCAACTTCGATACCTAGTAGTTGCTTTGTGGTGTTTTGTTACGTGACTAAGGCAGCAGTTGGTTTTTTTTGCAAGATTTTTGTACGTTTTATATACATATAGTTCTTTGTGCAATTTTTAGAAGATTTCTATGTTTTCACAAAGTGCTTTGAGTGTTTTCTTATTAAATGCTTCAGTTATGTACCTTTTCCCTTATCCCACTCCCTGAGAGGTGCAGACTGTCTCCAGGTCTCATCTCTCTGCAGAGGTTCAGGTGCAGCTGCCTTCTGTGCCTCCTGGTCCTGTGGTTCAGCAACAAGGTCAGGACTGTCTTCTGCAACAGAACAACACCAGTTTGTTACGGAACAGAAGTAAATCAGTTTTAGAAAGGAACAAATAAGAAATTAGGGACACCATTGTTTCATATAACAGTTTTTAAAATTATAAAACTAACTGTCATACAAAAAGTAGGAGTATTCATGATCATATCCTGCACTTGTTCTTGATCGTGATAGTACATGCTACAAAGAACTATCAAAAGTAGCAGTAAAACATTTGAAGTTTATGTCAGGAAATGTAAAATTTCAAGGCAGATGTGACATTTTTGTTGGAGTTTATGCTAAGAAGAACTAGCTAGCAGTACAGAATAAGGGATTTATATGAATCGTATGAGAATAACTGTTACATAACTAAACATTGTTCTAACAGTTCAGAAACTGTAAAAAAAATTCAAAAGTTTGACCTACCTTGACCTTCATCCTCCACCTCGCCCCCCTCCCCCTTCAGTCTCTTTGCCTTCCTCTGTTTCACCTTAGCCAGTCTGGCCTGAAGAGTTGCTTTTCTCTTCTCTTTTAACTTCTCTCTCTTCAACCTCTGGTCCTGGGTCTGTTTTTAACAAAGGAACAGTAAGATAATTGTAAATTGATTTACAAGTACAAATGTACTTCAAAACTAGATTGTTACAGAAATAACAGAGATAGTCCCATGATATACCACGTTGGAAAACTAGCATCAACCAAAAAATTTATGATGAGCTCCTTTCTTGTGTTTAAACAAAGCTTCAACTCTACAACTATAGCATCAACCCTCATAATCCCCCAGGTACTATAAGACTATCACAACCAAAATTATCTTTAAAAACAGCAACTTTAAAGTGATCCTAAATAAAGTGTACCTAAATGTTGGAGGTACAGATACATGTGTATTAGATCTCCAGCCCTACAATTGACTGTTACCCACCTCCTCCCGGAGCATACTCAGGGTTTCCATCTGTTTCTGTCTCTCTGTCTCTTCCTTGCTGAAGGCGTAGTAGCCAACACCTAAATCTCGCACCTCTGTTCAAACAGATGGAAATATGGAATAATGGTGAGTCAAAACATTACAGACTTTTCAAATTTTAATCACACAGTAACTGTTTTTAAACAATTCATTGCTTTTATTTGTATCAAAATGTATATTTTGTACTATGTAAGAAGAAGGCCTCAAACTATTGTAGCTCCCTACTGCTGTGCCAGACCTGTTGGCAGTGTACAGGCCCTACAGGCCTTACTACTGTAACAACAGTCCTGTAGAATGGTTCCTTACCGTTATGTCGGACCCGTTGGTAGTGTACAGGCCCTACAGGCCTTACTACTGTAACAACAGTCCTGTAGAACAGTTCCCTACCATTATGTCGGACCTGTTGGTAGTGTACAGGCCCTACAGGCTACAGTCCTGTAGAATGGTTCCCTACCGTTATGTCGGACCTGTTGGTAGTGTACAGGCCCTACAGGCCGACTCAGGGCCTCCTGTTCTTCCTGCTCCCACTTTTGTCTCTGTTCCTCCCTGATCATGTCAGCTGACATTAAGTCCTTACTCCCCTGACTGGAAAAAATAAGTAACAATTAACAAACAGGCAAACAAACAACAACAAAAACAAGAAACAAAACTCTCTAAAGAGAGACCATTTTGACCTTTGATTTGATCTTCTTGTCAATCTGCAGTTCACCTGTTCCCCCTTCATTTCCTGTTACTATACTGCATTCAAACAACTACAGACACACAAGCAAACAAACAGACAAATACACCATAAAATATCTGTACACATTATGGTTAGAAGTTTTTTTATAACATTAGCAGTCTAAAAATATATCAGGGCTAATCCTGAGCTATGAACACATGCTTGACTTAAAAACCACACCTGTTGTTAGGACCCAGTTTCCTGTCCATGTCCTGTAGAGCAGCCAAGTCTTTCTTCATACAGCGGCGAGACCGTCCCAGGGAGTCCACATAGTCTACCCTGTACCAATTACAAATGGAGAGGTGATATAAAATACTTTTTTTGGCACAGTCTGGGGAACAATCCTATCCTACCATGAAATTGTGAATGGTAGATGTTTAGATCTCTGATGAACCCTCACTTTTTGTTTTACCATTCAGATTCTATTCAATGTACATATGTACCAATAGGTTATCCTCTAGCTCATATCATTATACTGTCCAAATACTAGTCTTTACCAATGTTCTTCTACTGCAAAGACTGATTAGTTGAAGTAGATAGTTGACAGGAAACATTTGTTTAACCTGTTCACAAAGAACATCAAGGGGTCAAAGAGCAAAGGGTACCAAATGAAACCTGACCATTCTTCCTCTGGGTCAGATGGTTCTGGAATGTCATCACTCCCAGCATCCTCTTCTGCTGACCTTTCACCTTTCCCAGCATCCTCTCTGGCCTGTGCCTTGACCTTGTCTAGAACTTTCTTCTGAAAGTCAACCAGGAAGACTCCACTGCCGTCTTCATCTAACACCGAAAGGAAAGAAGATGATCAAACATTGAGAAAGCATGTTAGACATGGTTATGGACAATACCATGCAGATACATTTGACTGTATACATGTATTTGTAACTGAAGGTTACTCAATAGGCCATATTCCAGAACTGTGGGTACTACAGGGGTGGGTGAACAGTCACCACAACCCATGTATGGCACATGCCATAGTGACGATTTGGTTTGTACTCTGTATTACACATGTTCTCCATTTTTCCCATCATGCAATGGACCCACAAAATTGCTGTGTGATAATGTGACAGTCAATCATACCTGGTATTGTGTTACCCTTCATCATCTGGTCATACAGTTTGGCCTTTTCTTCTAATGCAGCTCTGAAACAGCAACAGGTAAATTTTGTTGAAGACAGACCACACATGATGTAATGCAAAAATGGGGAAAAAACACAATGAGCAAAACAAAACATTTTACCTAATTTTCAAAATAAAGATCATAATGTTATAACAAGAATTGAAGTTACAAAACATGGTTTCATAGGCCAAGAAATCATTTACAGTATATTGATTGAATAAATGCAAAATACAACTGCAGAGATTCAGATAGGATTGTGACAAGAAACAATGTACAATTGATTAACTACAAATTTTTAATGATGTCACAAAAGTTAAATGAAATGTGAGTAACCAATATATGAGTAAATCCTAATACGACAGCTTGCCCCATGTACAGACCTGGCCTTGTCATAGTTTTTCTTCTCCTCAGCCAGTTGTTCGACATCTCTCTGGGACCTCTCACTCACACCTGCGTTAGACTTACTGAAGATACCGCTTTTCTGCTGAGTTCATGAAAGGAACAATAATCACAATACTATGATTACAATAAGCTGTCTCACAATTTGACATGCAGTTGTGGTGCACTGTGCTCTATACCCAGCTGTAACAGTTATCAGACCCTAGTGTGAACAACTTTCTCATGCACCACATTGTTCAGGTTTATTTTTCACTGCCACCATGACCTACTCCCCTGGACATTATGTCCCACAAAAGCCTTTGTCTAGAAACACTACATTTGTACATGTATAATGCCATGAACAGAATACGTATTAACTCATACCAGCTAGTGTATAGTAGTACTACATGTATCTACCATACATTGTACCCGTTACAATTGTTGTGCAATAAACTTTGACTTATTTCAATGTTTCTGACTTGACTTGTCTCTGCGTTCACTCCCTTTATACCTTTGTACCTTGATACATACCTTCATACATGTGTGTGTGAGGTTACTTACTTTGTTGGACACTTTTGGTTTTGCTGTTGTTGAAGGCTGCAGCTTCTCTTTCTTGAACTCTCCCTGCTTTCTTATCAGTTCTGCTTTCAAGTCAACAATCTACAACAGAGGTAATAATATAATATTTAATAAAGATTGGAATGTATCAAGACCTTTACTTTGTAACTTATAAAAACAAGGACGTTAATGTCCTTGATAAAAATAACAATAAATTCAAAGTTATCTTCTTTCCCCGTATGCACTAAGTTTAACATCATTACTCTATGTAATATATGTAATATATGTTATCCACACATATATCCATACATACATATACAAAAATATATAACGTTACATTGTATATATTATTACATATATTCATACATAAAATATGGATAACCGTACGTAACACCAAGCTCCTTGGTAACGCTTAGTAGGGTCTAGTTAGGATCCCCCCCTAAAGTGCCCCATCAGGGGCTATATGGGGGTGTAGCCGGGGCTCATATAACATCTTTGAGCCCCGGCAAAGATGAAGATGAAGACAAAGATGAAGATGAATTGTGTCTTTTATTTGTACGTTGTTGTCATGTTTGCCTTGTGCCTGAAGTAAACAATAATATACATGTATAATAAAAACATACCAATATTTTGAGCTGACAAGTACGCCCTCCCACCCTTACACTTCCAATGTCACTTACCGACGCCGCATTTACGCGAATGGCCTTTCCTCTGGCGTCCATAGTTTCTCTTCTTCAAGCCCTCTGAAGATACGTCAAACTAGGAAGCAACTTACGAAGTTCAGAGGCAGAAAATCAAAAAAAAATTCAGAGCACCGAAATTTTCAACTGGGCAGCGCCATCTTGTTTTGATGTTACCCGATAGGGATGACGGGAAATAATTGTAGGTTTTTACGAAGAAATCGTTCAAAAAACGAGTAAAGAATATGTAAATACGAATATCTATACGGATATTTGACAATTAAGTGTTATTTATGACAAGAAAATCAACTCTATCGTCGCGATTTCGATATTTGGTGGAGTTGTTTACGAAAAGTTTCTGGAAAGTGAATTGTGGGTGATGTATGACGTCATGACAAGTTATCCAAAAGGGCATCCCCCATTTTTAGCAACTGCTCGTCACGTCCCTGTCATGTCTTTTGTCGCCGCAACTTTAGCCTCAAACTGCAAGAAAAACAGCCTGGATCTTCGCTAACCAGACGTAGCCGCTACCAAACCATGATTCCAGCCCACAGCCACCGAAACTGCTGACTCCCATTCGGTGTTTTTTGAAAGTTTGGAACCAAATATTCGGAACACACCCCCGTCTTGGTGTTGCATGTTGATACCATTTTTGGAAGTCCCTCAAACCGGCGTGCTTCTTCTTTTGCCGACGCTACGTCGTCTCTTAACGTGTTTTAAATTCTACCAAGCCCATTTTTCTGCGTAAGTATCATATCTGCTGTATGTTGTCGTTGTATGTTTGCTTGTGTGGTAGAATGAGTGTTTGGGAGAGTTGTGAAGTTTTGGGGTTTCTGTTATATGAGTTGGGTGGGAACTGGAGTAGGCATTTCAAACATGTCAGTACCAGGAATAGTAACAGTGGCAATGGTATTGGCCGGGGTTTTGTTCTCTGTAGAAAATGGCAGGGGAAAATGGATTGGAAAATTGCTACGGGCACGTAGGTTTGCAATGTTTGTGATTCAGAAATTCTGATCATTAATATTTGTTTGTTGTTTTATGATTTCTTTTATCTAGTGACATCCACCCACACCACAAGTCAACAGAATTGTGTTCATAAACTCAGTGTAATAACAAATTAATATTCAAGTTCATATTATAAAGCAGAATGAATTTGAGCAATATATGAAGTAAGAAATATTCAAACCTAATGATGTGAGAACACATGCCTTTCGTTTTACAAACTAACATCTAATTATATGAAGAAATATAAATGTTCTGTATTGCTGCTAATGTAACGTTATATTCTTCCCAGTACCCATTTTTATTTATCAGCATTTATTATTATCTCTGGAAAGTTGAAAATAATCTTTGTATTTCCATGTTTTAGTTTATCATTTCTACATTTTGAAGTAGGTGGGCGGGGCCAAAGGATGGTCTATTATCAATCTGATCATGTACACTGATATTGCATATTGAATGTCAGAGATTAAGATTCATAAACAAATTGTAATTAGGTGGGTCATTTGGGATCAGATTGACAGTAATTGTATCCAAGTGGATATGCATATTAAGTAAAGCAAATTGGTGTTCATACTACATGTATTACTACAAGTACGCTAGCTCAAATTCACTCTAATCTGTCACTTCCATGTAGAATATATACATTGTACCCCTTTAGTCTGGTATCCATCCCCATTTAAATGTTTGGTCCTTACCTTCTGCATAGTTTTTTTCTAGATACATGTATTTACTACCTGTAGTGAGTGTTTAATTCAGGTCACTGTTACAAGGACCATGCGGCTCAGAGCTGGTCAGAGATTAAAATTTTGCCAATATTTTAGGCAAATATTCAATTGCCAGTCATTTTTCTATTAGTAGTAGCATGTGCTAGACCATAGCTATTCAACAAGGGATTGTTATTAAGAATAGACCAAAGCTCCCGACCTATGAATACCAGTCTAATACACACTGCGCAGAGTTCAAATGATATCAACTGCTAGCTATTGAGGAAGTAGGTCTAGTTAGGATATGAATATCAAAGAAAGAAAGGTTTGATTTTTTAACATAACTTCCCATCTATTCAGAAATGCAATAAACTTATATAGTTACAATTTTTAATTAAGATACTGTTGCAAACATACAAAACATTGACCTGAAGACCTTTTGAACTTTGGTCTTTGTGGTGAAAAACAAATGGCTGATAAAAAAATCACAGCCTAAGGGCAGGTCAGTACGTGTACATGAATGTTATTTTTTCTTAGCTCTGACTACTAGTATGTTGTCTAATTATCTAATTCATGAATTGGGAATCTACTTTATCTAATTTAGAGAAAGTCTGGAAATTTTTTGAGAAGGGGAATTGTAAAAAAAAAAGAACTATTTTAAAAATATTGATCACCCAGTCATGCAATATTCAGATCAACAATAAAGAGAGTGACAATTATTATTAGTATCAGTTTCAGTGGAACAGGTGCAATTGTGCAATTTATATAGCTCTAGTCCTATCATAAAATGTACATGAAAATAAAATTGGCCTCTTTTGTTGATCTCTTTTAATAATAAGCTTCTTTTTCTTACTACTTCCATTAAAGGAGCGTGCAACTAATGTTTTTGTGTTATTGTTACAGAATTCTAATTTTCAATGTCTAAGAAGATGGCTAGGGGTGAAGAAAGCCAATCTCCCCCCAAGAAGATTTCATCAGAAACTCCCAAGCGCCCTGAAGTTCCGAAGCGTCCAAAGTGGCTAAGCAATCTCAGCAAAGAACGGAAGAAACCTACTAAAGATTCTGAACCGTTGTCTTCAAGTTCAAAATCGTCAGCCAATAGCAGTGATACCAAAGATACTTACGTCAGTTACAATAGAATTGAACTTGCCAAAGTAGACAAGAAACCAGGGAAATTTCGGGACAAGAACCAAAAAGGATCAAAAGTCGGAAATCAAAGTACCGGGAAAGAAAAAAAGGCGGAATCGGAAAAGAGGGATCTTTCCTCGGCGAAAGGTCAGGGTCACGGTATACACAAGCCATGGAATAGCTCCACTAGACTTGACAATCCTAGACGTCGTTCAGACAGTCACACATCTACAGATAGCTCCAGGTCTGGGGACAAGAGAGCCAATAGATTTAGGTCTGATTCTGACTTTAGGCTAGAAAAGACGCCTCGTAGCCAACCCAAAAAATCCACCAGCAAGGAAAGCCTCTCTGACTCCCGAAAAAGTAGCAAACAAAGGCGAGAAACAGACAGTCCCTCTCGAAGGGAAACACAAAAGTTTTACACAGCTAAGAAAAAAGATGATCCTCATAACAGAGAAGAAAATAAAACCAAGGAGGTGTCTACCAAGGCACCGAACAAGTGTGAAGAAGAGATAGATTTTAATGAGAAGGAGAACACTCCAGAACAACCTAGTAAGTCATGGTACGAAGAGGAGCCCCAAGGACTGGAAGAGCTGCAGTACCCCATGGGAGATGATAGGGGGAGTCAGAAGGGAAAGGCTCACCACTGGGGAGACATGCCTACAGACAAACACAGGGACAACTACAGGAAACCAAGGAAGTACATTCAAGAAGACTCTGTTGAAGTACGGAAGAACATCAGGCCAGGCAGAGGCAGTCGCGGCCGCGGTGCGATGGTAAGCAGCGAGAGCCAAGAGAGTATCTCGTCTCGTAGCTCTATGCACTCACAGTCACAGCGAGCACAGCGAGACCACAGGAAAGGACATTACGACAACAGACAGAGGGACAACAGGCAGACATCACGTCAGAGTTCTGTCGATTCGTTAGATAGGTATGCAAGGGCTCCAGGTTCCAAGCCAAACTCTCGACCCCCCTCCCGACCTCAGTCCCGGAACGGCCCCCCACAAGACTACTACTACGATGACAATCATACCTGGGGATCCCCATCTCGACCCCACTCGCGAAACGGCCCTCTCCAACACTATAACACGGATAACAGGAAATCTCACTACCGAGGCCCACCCAGTCGACCAATCTCCCGCCAAGGCTCCATAGAGTCAGTAGACAGCTACCCTCAGCCGTCATCTCGGCCCAACTCCAGGCCACCATCACGAAACGGGCCGCCTCAGTTCTGGGAGAACAACCGGAAAAAGGGTCCACCGAGCAGGCCGTTGTCACGACAAGGTTCTATCGAGTCTCTGGATAGCTTCGGCCCGTCTTCCCGCCCATCCTCACGCCCCTCGTCACGCCCTCCATCTCGTCCGCCTTCTCGTAATGGCCCACCACTCCCGTACGCCGCCGATCTCAACTGGCCCAGGTTTAACTACCCAGAATCTGTGGGAAGCTCGTCTCGGCGCTCGTCGGAAGTCGACTCCGACGACGACTTCACCTTCCCGTCGGGTGAGTTCTGGAGCACGTTTCCTCAGCGCGCCTCCGTGGAGAACTGGAGCACGTGGGACACGGTCGCCGACCAGCTCCCCACCGACCCCAGGAACTCCAACAGCCTGCCCAGGAAGCTGTCGTCTGACCTGCAGAGGGAACTGGCACGGCAGACCGCCAAGGAACACCGGCCCAAGTTTGGACGGAGAGACTCCATCGAGTCTTGGGATGGGTTCCCGCGGAGGACGTCCTTCCAGGATGACAGGATGTACCTGTCTCAGCCGGAGGACTCGGGATCTGCAAGGTACGATTATCAATCTAAAATTATCATTTTTATGTTGTCACTGTCCAAGCATTCAAGCTTAGAATTCAGCTTTTATTTTTAGTGTTTTGATTTTCTGTCTCCCTTTCCTTTTTGGGGGTCATATGTCCTTTTTTAGTTTTACCTACATCAATTTTACTAAAACTTTTAGTCTGTGTTTAAATGTGCTTAACTGTCTATCTGCTTATACTTTTTACACACAAATGTTTAGTAAATAATTTTGTTGTCTTACTTTTTCTTGCTGACTTTTTTCCTTCCTTGTTGGTCTTTCTACCCTCCTATTGTTCTACTCCTGTTGTACATCTCTGTGTGTAAGTCTGTGGATGTTTAAGCGGCCAGGGTTGGTGCGCAGTCCTAGTCGTGACAGTGTGTCGTCTGTGGGCTCCACCCAGTCCTCTCGGTCCTACTGCACCAATCGCCCGCCTCGATGGCACAGGACAGACAGTAACGGCAGTCTGTACGATGACAGGTCAGGAGAATCAGGACAAAATTCCTCACGTACACTCACCAGAACTGTAAGATACAAGACACCCCTTACAAAGACACCCCTCAACAAGACATCAAAGATTTCACACCTCCATGAACTTTAGACTAGAGTTGTGGATTTCTTGTTTTATTGGTTACACCAAGGGCAAGTTGAAGGGGTAGTATTTGTTACACCGAGGGCCAGTTATTCTGGCTATACAGATACAGATTTTCCACAGTAAGTACTGGAGCATGTGGGACACAGCAGTTCCTCTCAGCCTTTTACCTTCAATTTAACCTCCCTGTCAGTCTACAGATACACCATTCCCCCTCACTTCCTGTGACTATTGTATTATAAAATGATTATAAGGCCATGCTGACATGACTTGACTCTATGGCTGACATGCATCCTTTCAGGACACCCATGCAAAAAAAATGAGAAGTTTCCTTCATTGTGAAACCTAAGTTGTCAGGATATGTGAAGTAATGAGTTTGTTTCTACCCAATCAGGACACACCCTGCTGGTCCTCGCAGCCGCAGTCGCAACAGGAAAAGGAACAGACGCAACCGAAGACGGTAATGAACTTCTCTTTACTGTCCTCAGTCCCATCATAATCAAAGTAGTAAACAGAACTGATATTAGGCACTTATGCATTCAATTTGTTTCTGTTACTCTCAGAGATGATTATCTTACTGTGTAACACTTTTCATCTGTTTTTTCCAGAAGTCGCAGTGGCCAACAAGGACAGGGTCCATTTGGACATCAGAACCCAAACATGGGCTACTCTAGTGCCTCTGAACTGTCACAGGATGTAGGTTTTGTTTATATTATTTATTAATATATCAACTTGATTATGTCTTGTTACGGGAATATCCCCAGTACAATTAACCATTTAATACCGTACACACACATTTAAATGAATCAGAAAAATTCCTATTTCTTATGAAACTTGACAAACCATGTATCACTAATTCTATATGCTCGTACATCTATAACTGTGTCAAGAAGCGAGAAGAAGTCGAACAATGTAAATAGTAGATCACATTAGTATGTATAGTTTAAGTATCATTGCTGTATCCATTTCCTTGTCTATCCATGACCTGTACTTAGCTTGTTAGAGCACAAACGTACAATAAAGGTCTTTCATTAATGTCTTCTCTGTCACAACCAGTGGAAGAGTAGGATAACTGATGATTGAGTTTGTTCCATCTAAACTGGTTTGAGATCACTTTTTCTCACATGTGCAGTATATGATGTCTAAACCTACTAATTGGCTCTCTGTCCAGGGTGATTTTAAGCTGAACGGCCCTCCCAGTGACACAGAAGTCCAGCTCCGCAGCCGTCTGGACGATGTGCTGGATGGTAGTCTATCATCAGGCTCCATGAGCCCCATACCAGAGTCAGACGTCGCAGAATTCCCGGTAAGATAAAATATATAATAAGCAACAAGTCAGGACAGTTGTTACATGAAAGTACACTTCTTTTATTTCAGAATCTGTATTTTCTATATTTCTATTTTGTAATTACTGACTAACAAAACTTCATGTTACAAGTATCCAACTTTGACTATTTGCAGTCTCCTGAGCCAACAACAGCAAAAGAGAAGCAAGGAGAAAATGTGAAAGAAAAGACAGATTCTACAGTTGTACCCAACAAGACTCAACACAAGCCCAGCAGTGTGTCTACATCAATACACCATCCACTACAGTATACATGGTGAACACTGGTGTTCTTTTGTGGATTAGATGGGGAAAATGAAGTTGACAGAAGAAAATCCAGTATAGTTTGTTTGATTCAGTATATACCTAATCTTTGGCGTAAAATGATTGTCAACGTAGCATGATAGAATTGTAGATAGATAAATTATGCTTAAATCGTATTTAGATAAGGCTACAGCAAAAAAAAGTTATGGATGACATCCTCTGCAGACACCTAAATGGGAAAGTAGGAAATAACAAGATTACTGCATGTTCAAAATACTGGTAGATCAAAACCTTGTAACAAGAATTGAAGCAACATTGGTATCACAGCTCTCTTATTCCTGTATTCAAGAAGTGCTACCACACTAGTGTCACTTCTACAACTACCGTCGAAACTAGTAATCTACAACAGTTGCCACACTGATAGCTTATAAACGTTTTGTACTTATACTATTAAAGCAGTAGATAGCTGTAAGATATGTTGCCCAATAACAAATGATGACTCCATGGTTGTTTTCTTGATGTTTTGTTGCAGGAGGTTCTGGTACGATCGGAGGGAAAACAAGTCCATGAGGATGAAGTCAGATTTCACCAACTACAACGAAAATCTGTTAGAAATATCTACTGTGGAAACAGTAAGTTATCAAAATTAACGTATATTAAGTGGTTTGAAGACTATCATTAAAGTTCATCTGTGTTGGTAGTCACATGTTTAAAGTTAAAACTTTTGATCCAACACAAAAAGTTCTCTCACCTAGAGCTTTCGACCAGTCACTCTGGTCTTCCTCAATAGACTGACCCAGTGAGACTTGTCATGTGGTTTCTTTGAAGAGTTTTAATCAAATAGCCAAATAGTATCCAGATTCGCCAAACACCAGCTGACCCAGCCAAATTTGCGCCGACCTACATGTACTCCCAACCATGGTTGGGGGAACTGAATGGCTAGTGTTCAAGTGGCCAAATTCATGCAAGTTTGACAGGGGCTTGAGACTAATGACCAAACATCTGTGTGTTTGTTTGTTTGTTTGTTTGTTTGTTAGATTGAAGGCTTCTGGCAGGTGTACAACCACCTGGCACCTGCACATCATCTGGACAACAATGCCAACTATCACTTCTTCAGGGTGAGAAACTCAAGATATTCTCCTGTTAAAGATTAGGACTGTTTATACTTAAAATGAGGAGAGTCCAATTCAAAGCCACAGAATAATGGAGATTATTCTGTGGCTTTGAATTGGAAATTGCAAAAATCAGAAAAGGAAGAAAATAAATTGTTGTGGCGATTCTTATATATTTCATGCCAAAAAAACAGTTACTCAAGCAACTGGATATGATTTTGGTTATGATTTTCCAAAATCATATCCAGTTGCTTGAGTAACTGTTTTATGGCATATCTTATTACCTCGGTTGGATGTCTTAACCGTCACCGACTTATATATTTTAGTTTTGGAATTCAACATACTAAGCACTTTGAAGCCTTTAGGTATACATGTATATGTATGTGTGAGCTCTAGATCCTACAAATGAATAGTAAGAATCTGTTCTGCCCCCCTCCCGCAGGTTGGGATCATGCCCATGTGGGAAGACGATGCCAACAAACAGGGAGGCAAGTGGGTCATCACTATCAGGAACGACATGGACTTTGTAGCCAGTCTGTGGCTGGAAATGGTATGTAGTCTGTATTCTATGCTAAGCCTGTCACACATTTGCCAACACATTGCTTGGTGCTGGGTTGGAGTATAGCCTGCAGTCCATTTTGTTTTAGCTCCTGTTTCTTCTCTCATAACATCCATATGGCATGCAGAAATCACTTTCCCCATTTGCCCATGGTATGCTTTACTCACGTTTTAAGTCATGGTTCTCAATCACTTTTTTTTTCTTTTTCTAGCTTCTTGCATTGATAGGAGATGAGTTGGCCTTCTCTGATGAAATCTGTGGTGCAGGTTGGTCTGCAATTTTTTTTGTACAATTTTACAAATGTGCTTTGTTTTAAAATGAAGTCTTCTAGAAATTCTTCTAAAAGTATCTATACTGCTTATGCAGAGAACAAAACTGTTCTGTTTTATCATTTGGTCATGGCCATGGCCGTATTGACTTTTTTGGCATTAATTGATTATTAATTTTACTGCAGTTGTGTCCAAGAGGAAACGAGGAGACAGAATTGCCATTTGGACACGTGATAAAGAAAATGTCCTGGCAAACTACGCAATCTGGTGAGTCCTTCAAAATTCTTCAAATACATAAAACTAGGATAAGGATATCATTCTTTTGCTTATTCATTTAGGGACATTGTGGTGGAAAACCAAGATTCATTTTGTATTAATATCTTTCCCATGTAGCAAGAACATCCTGTTTGTGATAGCGTATGCCAGGGGTGTGTCCTCGGAGAAACTCCTGCCGTTCTTTGAGACGTTTGCTCAGAAGGAGAAGTCTTCCATTGAGTACTTACATCACCAGGACTCCCTGCGTACCGGACAGTCTTACACAACTGCTGCTCACCTGACAGCACATGCTGTCCTAAAGGTACTATTTCTACTTAATTATACAGGTTCTGATAGATGCCCAGTATGACCTTGGAAAAGTCGTAATTTCCCCACATTCTGTCCTTCACATAGAAATCAAAATATTGTAAAATATAATTATTAAGCTATTTTCTGACTGAGTATAGTCAACCGTTGGGGCCTTATATCAATGTGGAGACTGTAAAAAAAAAAAACTGATCTAGGTGCCCTGTATGACACCCTGGGACTGCCGCTATAGCGTTTTTCCTCACATCAAACTGTGCTGTGTGGCATGCTTACATACCTAGGATTCTATATTTTTGGCATTGGATGGCTGAGTGGCTAGGCTAGCGGACACAACATACTGTAGATAGGTCACAAGTCACAGGTTTGCTGTGTCCTTGGGGAAAGGTACTTTTCTCACTCCAACCAGGTGTAAAATGGTGGCCTGACTTTGGTTGTGGGGGTAAAGGTGGTGGAAGGAGAGGGATGGTCTCCATCTTTCAATACCATGATTTGACAACCCACTGCCGTTACAGCCTCAAAAGCCTGTATGGGAGTCCTGAACCATTACCTACAGTATTTTCAGCTGTATATTTTACTGTCACTTTAAAGAAGTAGGGCATTACATGTAGGCTGATAAGGTAAGATGAAGTGAAAATAAGTGGTTCTCCTTTGTGAGCTGTGTAAGCATTCATTTCTTGAGTTTGACTGTAACTTTTCTTGTATACAGGACATTGTTCGAGACCTTAAGGATGCCAGCAACTAAAAACTAACAGACAACACCCTGGTAGCTGTCACACAGTCTGGGAGACTTAATACCCTCCATGGTGCCTTCAGTCGTTTTACAACTGATGCATAAAAATATTAGTATCTGTATGATTAGTATTTTGGCCTAGCGTAAAATCATACTGGATAAGACACAATGTGAAAGCTTGGTCCCATGATTCCCTGCATGTATTTTAGCTCCTATTGTACACTACATGTAAGACAATCTTTAATATGAGCTCTATTACTTATTTTATAGACTGAGGCCATTTAAGGACAAAGTTTGAATTAAAAGTGCCTTAAAATTCTGTAGAATAGTTTTCTACATTTTACATTTTAACAAAATGTACATCAATGCAAGGACTGGTCAGTGTTTTGAAGCATTATGGCTTATTTTCTATTTCCATAAGCCTTTTTCTCATGCATTAATTTTGTAGTAGGCATAAAATAGGAAGAAAACAGGAAAAAAATATTGTCATCTTTTGATTATATATCTTGTAAATATTGAATAAATAATGAATGTTTGGCAATAACTATAACTGTGCATAAGGACATGTGTATTATTATTTAATAATATTAACTGAATTCTAATAGATGTTGCAGACCCTTTAATAAGGGCTTTTACACAGAGTTTGGTGCAACTTTTTATGATAAGAAAATGTACTGTTGCATATGGACTGATGCCATAATGTGTACTGTCCAACTTTTTTCCTAGAATATATTTTACTGTGAGCATAATTTGCATTTTCTACTTTCTGTTGCAAAACATTGCATTTTCCACAGGGTTTTTCTAAGGCAAGTAATGCTTTGTAGGTGTAAATTGAATAAAGTGTCAGTGCTATTACTGTCCATTGTTCCAATTAATTGGAACTTTGGGACTACAATGTAGGTTAGGTAGAATGTAGAATAGACATTGATTGAAACTTGTAATTTGTTTTTTATGGATAAACCATGTTAGTAATGGTTAAAGCTGTAATACACCAATTCATGACTTTTCCCTATTCTTTGTTTTGTAAGAAATTGGTGTCTACGATAAAATATGGTAATTTTTGTCATATATAGTGTAATTTTTAAGAATAACTAATTTCAGAATGCCTCATTACATGACATAAGTGATAATCTTAGATTTTTGCTTCATTGGCAATTGTTGTGTACATTATTTGTAATAATGCTAAATACTTTATACATAATATTATGAATGTGTCTCATTGCTATGTAAGAAAATAATATACATTTTGGCAAAGCCATTTAATATATGTAAATCTCATACATATGAATATATGAAATGTGAATAATGGAATGTTAACTTAAAAGTAGGTATTGTTAAAGATTGCGTATTATTGATAACATTATCTGTGCAATGTTTGGGACAGGACAATGTGTGAATTGTTGTAGATAAAATTAAAAGCAAATTTGGAAAATTTGGAAATCACTGGGAATGGAGAAAACCTCAAAGCCTTATATTTCGAAGTAGTTCTGAATGTAAAGTTTTACATTTTTTTAAAAAGCATGCTACCTTATGTAGTATCTCTTCATTGCCGACTTAGGTATATTGACACCATGTTTAATCTTTTAAATTCCCAGTGTTTTAACGACTTTATACTGACCAGTAGAGCAATGTATATGACCTGTTCAATTTACAATTTTTTACTACTAGGAAGATTACAATTTGCTACTACCTTATGATGAAAATAAATAGTGTTTCTGAAATTCGTTTTGAGATTTAATGTCTAGTTCCCTTTTGATGGTAGCAATTATACATATAGCAATAGAAGTATGAAATTCTTACTATAATTTGCTACAGTAACTAGAATGTTCTAGTTTCATGCAGATTAGGTCTTTATTTAGTTACAAATGTCATGCTGCATTATGGAATGCAGAGAAGTGAAATCATATTAAAACGTCCTCACTGATTAGGGCCAGTGTTGGTTTTAAGCCTCTACCGGGCTTTGGGAGGCGGCTGGAAAGAGTAGAAATCGGCCAAATAGAGAGTTAACATGCCAGGGGAGTTGGTCTGCTGGAGAGAACAGTTTGCCGCTCCCGAACTCAGACCAACTCCGATCCCCTGGCATGTTATCTTTCTACTCCTTCCAGTCGCCTCCCGAAGCCTGGTAGAGGCTAGCCTTACCTATCGATATCCAGGCACAGAAAGCTCAGGTCATTGCACTTTTCCCACCAATCACTACGGTAAATTAGCCCAGCTAATAGCATGTAGAAGTATGAAATTTTTACTATAATTTGCTACAGTAACTAGAATTTTCTCGTTTCATACAGATTGGGTCTTCATTTACTTACATACACCATACTGCATTATGGAATGTAGAGGAGTAAAATCATATTAAAATGTCCTCACTGATAAGGGCCAGTGTTGGCCCTTCTGTTGTGTGCAGACAAACTGTGTCAAAGTGGCGACCTCACATTAGTTGTACAAAGCCTGGAGGCGATGAAAGCTTAATTGACACAAGACTACTAGCATGGATGTAAAGAGGAAAGGAACTACTTTTGCCGGTCTTAGCTAAATTGGTATCATAACTTGACGAATTGCCGTTAAACGTAAACATGGTAGAATTATTCTAGCTGACCTTCATGTTCCAAGCGTTAGAGCCTTTTCGATGATTTTTGCTCCAACTAAAATCACGTGACACTATCAACCCTAAGACAGACTGTAATTATGACATACCCTAGTGCCACTCTTACTTAGTGGACACATTAATTGCACGTGACTAAAAGTGAAAAGTCCGGTTAGACATTCAGGCATTAGTAGTTCCTGAGTTGCGGTGTAAGGTTCCCAACACACTGCTGTCCGTTTCATCTGTATTTGACTTGCAGCAACACAGTACGCCGTGGAACACCTCAGTGGTAGCGAACTTCTGACGCCATCTCTGCATCAGTGCAGTATAAATCATATTCCATTTTGTAACACAGGTGGGTACAACTACGCATTTCAAGCTATATATTTTTAAAGCTGCCTCTTGTCACAGTAAACGGGTTGCCAAACAATGCAGAAATTTATAGGCACTAGAAAACATATTCTGTATATGTATAAAGGCAAGAACGTCTTTTGCCACACCAGGGCATTACTGTCAGAACAGGTGTCAGATAGACCTTAAGTCGGCACCTAACAATTCGGGACAACTCGGACCTGGCAAATGTGATAAAATAAAAACGAAATATGGCTAAAAACATATTGAACTGTCAAACTTTCGACTTCATTGCTGATTATCTGACATCAGAAAATTTTCCGAAAATTTGAAACTTTTGAAACACCGCACGGGAATATCGCTAGAAATATATATAATTCGAAGCCGCGATGTAACGTAACGTAGCGCCGAGCGAACATGGGCGATAGATACTGGTGTTCTCTGCTGTAAATTACACATAAGTATACTTCTTTTTACTTCAAATATATATAGCCATTTAACTAGTAACCTTCAAACTGTATAACGCACCATTTTTATCTATTTAAGACCCATTCATGTGGGTACGCGACGTGTTTTTGAAGGTTTTGTAACGATAAAGTGACTTTTATTCCAAATCATGTTGTCACTTATAATGCTGCCGACCGACAAAACTATCTTTCTTTGAACCCCATCACAAACATGATGTGTTGAGAGTGGTACCGACTTGTCGTGGGCCTGGTGCCGACTTGGCCCGAATTGCTAGGATGCCTAGTCTTGAAACGAGTTGTCTTGAAACATTGCATAAGACGCTAGCCTAGTACCCAGTCTATTGTAGTTGGGCCTGGCTGTCTTCGGGGCTCTAATTATAGTCTTCCACCGTCCAGCTCAACAGGCCGCTCGGTTGGAGTTACTAGTACTCCTGTGATAGAGTTTGCCTCACCGGGAGTTGATTATTAGCCCTATCATGGAGCTAATCAAACTCCTGTCGTGAAAAACCTACCGGGGAAGCGGGCAGGGAAGAGCTTCAGCAGCCCCGAAGAAAATCCATGGTCTCTTAGATAGATCTACTTTCCTATATACTAAGGAGGGCCTGCAAGCCCTTTTTCGTAAGGCGTAATCAGGCCTTTTTAGCCTTCGTAATCCGTAGGCGGCCGTCCAAAATCATCGTAATTCGTAATCGGTACATTAGCCGTAACGCGTAATTGGTCGTTTTTATTCTCCGTAAAGCGTAATTAGTTACTTTTATGCGACGTAAAGCGTAATCCATGAGATCATAATAACGTAGGCTGATTTCAAAATGGTCCAATCCACAACCGATAATGCCGTCCAGTCAAAATGTAGGTCTAAAAATGCTGGAAATAGCGTTTCAGAGGGGTTAAAAATTCAAAATTTCCCGGGGGGGCATGCCCCCGGACCCCCTTAGCAGGCTCGCGCCTGCGGCGCTCGCTGACGGACGCCTTTGGCGCCCGAAATCTTCGCCCCCCCCCCAATCAACGTTTCAAATCTCGTGAGTGATATTGCCCCCGTTCTGGCAGGTGAGTGAGTTGGGACACCATAAATCGGGCCCGGTCTAGGCTGAATCAGGTGAATGGAGGGCCCCACGACTAGGAAGCCAGTATCCACAGCATGTATAATACAAATGTACATGTATTTATAAATGTTTCTTCCTCTATCGCCATGGCTCAGTGGTTATGAAAAGGTTCATCGTCACCTACAATTATGGCGCGCTCGGAACTCGCTGATCGGCTTCACCCGATCGCCCGGTATTTCGGGTGATTTTGGCACCCGTCAGAACTTGTCCTCACTCCAAAAAAACTCCTGGATCTACCGCCTATGCGACAATCAACACAAAGGCAATAGTTTTGACGTAGAACTATTAGTTGCTGTGTTTTAGACGGTCGGGAATCCTCACGATTTAACGTAATTCGTAATCAGCTCTGAGAATTTTACGTAATTCGTAATTGGCGGCGAAAATTTGGCGTAATTCGTAATCAATACCCCCCCTTGCAGGCCCTCACTAAGTACTAAAGTATATTGCTTACGTTTTTGTAAATATATAAATATTAACGTCCTGTATTCCACAGCTTTCACCAAACAGAATCAGTGGGTGTACTGCTCAGTGACCCGGTGAACCAGTTGTGTAATTGCTAATTAGATCACTCTTCCACAGGGTATGCCAGACCATGGTCTCTTAGATAGATGATATGTCTACTTTTCCTCTATACTAAGTATATTGCTTACATTTTTGTAAATATATTTTATAAACATTGACGTCCTGTATTCTACAGCTTTCACCAAACAGAATCAGTGGATGCACTGCTCCGTGACCCGCTGAACTAGTTGTCTAATTGCTAATTAGATAACTCTTCCACAGGGTATGCCAGACCATGGTCTCTTAGATAGATGTCTACTTTCCTATATACTAAGTATATTGCTTACATTTTTGTAAATATATTTTATAAACATTGACGTCCTGTATTCCACAGCTTTCACCAAACAGAATCAGTGGATGCACTGCTCCGTGACCCGCTGAACTAGTTGTCTAATTGCTAATTAGATAACTCTTCCACAGGGTATGCCAGACCATGGTCTCTTAGATAGATGTCTACTTTCCTATATACTAAGTATATTGCTTACGTTTTTGTAAAATATAACTATATAAATATTGACGTCCTGTATTCCACAGCTTTCACCAAACAGAATCGGTGGGTGTACTGCTCAGTGACCCGGTACGGTGAACCAGTTGTGTAATTACTAATTAGATAACTCTTCCACAGGGTATGCCAGACAACATGGATGTCGACAATAGAGTAACTCTCCAAACTGTCCAGAAAGCTGCGAACACACTCTCAGGTCATGTGGTGATGACACCGGTACAGACATGCGACACTCTGGATTTGCTGTCAGGACGAAAACTCTTCTTTAAGTGCGAGAATTTCCAAAAATCAGGGTCCTTCAAGGTAAGGTATATGTTAACTTATATCATATTTCATTCAGATATATTTATTGGGTATTGGTCAAAAAGCACAAGTTGCTTATGTAACACCTTCTACTCAAAAACATACAACGAGTATAAAACACATTGACAAAGTACATGCATAATTACAAGGTGGGTAAAAAAAACCAAGATAAATACAAACAAGAGACAAGTTGGTGATCTATCAGTACGAGAGTCTTACTTATATTATATACAATATATATAACTGTATTGGGCAAGCCTTATTGCGACGACAGCCATAGTTATTCCGATTAAAAAACAGCTATAATTATTTGAGAGCTGCCATATACATTGTATATAAAACGTAAAAAATTTGAATCAATAACTAAAACAGGATGTGATTTCTATTAAAAACAACTGTTTATGTACAGGTCCCCTAATTCAGTTTGTTTAGATACGAACTTATGTTTTCTTCCTTCTTGCCTAACTTTCATGCGAAATGTGGGTGGCTATCTTCTTATATTTCTGACAATGAAACACAAATTCATGTTAATAATTATTTGATTTTACTTTTTTTAGTCAATACCCGAGATTCAAGCTGGTGTAGCCTTACAAGATAGCAAAACAAATAGTAAAACTAAATTTACTGCCTAGCTTAAGCTTCCTCAGGGCAATACTAGTACTCACTGGTACTACTACATTCCCATTCTTGTCACGTATTAGCCTAAAAGTGTCCGTGATCTTCTCATCATTCTGACAAAAAACGAAGCACATTGCCATTGACACAGCTGTGAAGAGCTATAATTGTTTTTTGTTGATCATTTTACATAATAACAAACACAGCACTAATTATAACACAAAAGATAACGGATAAAAAAAAACAGGATTACAACAGAATACACAAACTAATGAAAAGGATCAAAATGATATAAACCAATTGAAGCAACACTAGTACAGGAAGAAAATCAATAATAACAAGAGCTATAATTGTTAGGAGCTGACATAAAATGTTTTTGTATCAATAGCTACTACCGGTTTGCAAATTCTTTGAAATCGACCTGATCTATCAATCAATAATTCTAAACCTGCTTTTCTGACAATTCTCCAGCGTCACTGACGTAAGGTAGTGGACCGGATGCTACCTAAAACGTCTGCCCGTTTCCAAAATCATATCCAGTTGCTTGAGTAGCCGCTTTTTGGTGTATTGGTTTTCTTAGCCTTGCTGTGTTACTGTAAATTTCCCCCACAGTTCCGTGGAGCGTTTAACGCTGTGTCCAGGCTGGTCAGTTCAAATGGAACAGCTCCACACCAGCTACAGGTGGTCGGGAGCAGCACCGGGAACTACGCGTGCGGACTGGCCATGGCCGCCGAGCACCACGGAGTTGCTGCCAACGTGGTCATGCCACACAACGCCCCGGAGTGCAAGAAAAGAACGGTGCTATCGTATGGTGCCAAGATTACACAATGCGAGCCGGCTGCAGAGGTAAAAACACGTATTTGCTTTAAATTATAGTCTGTACTGTCAATCGGTAAATAAAGATAATCTTTTCTACAAAATTCATATTGCTTTCGGCGGCGCCCATGGGAGCAGCCATGTTAGATAATGACGTCATGAAGGCACCATCTTGTTTCCGGTTGTTGATGTCTCGTGATAGCAAGTGTACAAAGAGGGAACTGGATGAACGCGCAAAGCTATTAATACATTCTTTTTCGTCTTCCTTACTTATGACATACAGTGAGCTGCATGATATTTATACTACAACCAATGAGTGGGATAGTGAGAGTAATTCTGCCTTTTCAAGGAAAGAAATTAGTCTGACTACTGACTTACAGAAAACTTTTTTTTTCTTCAGGCCATAGCCCAAACCGTGAAACAGGTGCAAGATGTGACAGGGGCTGTCTTCATTTCCGGTGGCAATAGCTCTGACGTCATTTCTGGACATGGAACTATGGGATTGGAACTTCTTCAACAGGTAGAAGCACGAAGATATTTGAACATTTCATCAAAATTTGCAATGAGTAGAGTAACTGTATATCAAACTTCCTGTAGTAGCTAATAGACATTTGACTTATCATTACTGTGATGTGTAGATATTGGTTTCAGTGGCCGTGTTTTCATTTTGTAGGTGCCAAACATAGATGCGGTCGTCATGCCGGTTGGTACCGGGGGTATGCTGGCCGGTGTGTCCGTGGTTCTCAAGGTATCTATCATTTAAACAGCATCTGCCAATTCTGTAATAGACGAGGTGCAGTTTACCGTAGATTGCCCTTTGGATGATAGCGAAAGAAGCATTCTTTTTAGATTAGGCCATGTTGATTTGATTATATGGATGACATCCTCCGGGAACCCCAAAATTGATGCGCGCGTGCGAATAAAAAAAAAGTTTTGCAAAAAAAAAAGTTTTCATTATGAAATCTACGTGGTCATGAGGGTTGAACAAATGGGACGGAATATGGTTTAGCGAATAATCTAGTCTTCAAGTTCATTTCTTTACAATTTCGTCTTTTTTCGTTTGATTTTGGCATTCTACGACATTGGTATGGGGTTTTTTTGTAACTTACGGTATATTTTTGCTCATTTTGCAACTGTTTTGTACGATTTACAGTATGGTTAAAAACTTTTTTTTTTGAAACGGCCGAAAATTCATGCGCGCGCGGATGTCATCCATATAATCAAATCAACATGGCCTTATGTGTCAAGAAAATATTGCCATTTTTGGTATATTTGAATAGTACAAATGTATTCAATAATTTATCTTCCTCAGAGCCTTTGATAAACAAACTCTAACTAATCATCCATCCATCCATCCATGCCGAGAACATTTTTGGAAGCTGAACTTTTTTTCAGCCCAGAATTCAAAACATGTCAATTTCCCTGAAATTCAGGCCCCTATCATGGTATCTTATACCTTCCCCACGCAGTCCGTCTGCCCTGACGTCTGTATCTACGGAGCTGAGCCGGAGGTTGCGAATGACGCTGCCCTGTCCCTCAGCAAGGGAGAGCGGTGCAGCTTCTCCCGTTTCCCGCAGAGTGTAGCTGACGGCCTCAACGGGAACATCGGTCCGGTTCCGTGGACATACATCAGGGACAACGTCGACGACATTTTCACTGTTTCAGAGGATGAAATCAAGGTACAGACTGAATTACCTTCTCCTATTTGCTCCGCTCCTGAGGTGTCACAAAAAAGTTTTCGGTGAAGTTGAACAAGTTTAAGGAATGTGAAATGGTGTATAAAGCCACAAGACGAGTCTTGTATTTTCTGGGTGGTACCCTAAAAATCAGCCCAGGGCCCTTCCAGTAACCATTTTCCGTCAGCTGAATTTTGGGAATTTTTCTCCACATGGGTCAATATATATTGGGATAGTGTGGTTTCAACTTAGTATGTAGATAAATGACTAGAATATTGGCTCTGAAAAATCGAGTTTAACATAATGACATTGCCTTCTTGAGGGCTTGTACTTATTTGGAATAGTAAATTTAGACTTTGAAGACTGCAACCATTGGGCAAAAGCGTTGATTCAAAGTTAACGTTCCTCTGTGTGTCTACCGTTTCTCCCAGCATGCCATGCGGCTGGTGTGGGAGAAGATGAAGCTGGTGGTGGAGCCGTCAGGCGCGGTGGGCGTGGCCGCCGTGCTGAGTGACAGCTTCAAGGCACGGGCCGGAGGCTGTAGGAACGTCGCCGTCATCCTGTCAGGCGGGAACGTGGATCTCCAGAAACTGTCCGAGTTATTGGCCATGCCCCAATAGAGGGGCTAAAGTTAGAAATAATTCTTTATTTGCAAAATCATGCCCGAAGGCTAATTGCTTTTACAAAGATACTATTCGGTACAATACAATAATAGGAGACAGCCAACTGTCTGGGGAAAAAACTTATACTAGTATACTACATGTACTACTACTACGCTAGCTATTGTGAAATTTGACTTCTTCTTTGAAGTCAGTGGATAATGAATAATCCCACATAAGCTCCATGAAAATGGCGGTACTGTTTTTTTGTCTGGATGATGCTTGGGTGTATTTCAAAATATGTGGTTGCGGAATGTGATGGTACATGTATGGCAGTTGGGTATGTGGGGTGAAGTGGATTATGAAGTTCGACTTTGGGCACCTGGTGATTGACCTTGGTGCTGCAGTAGGGATTTTTGTAATACTAGTATCTTTGGTGCCGTACATAATTAATAATGCAGAATAAAGCACAAAATTTACAAAAGCACTAAATATTTCAGGGAGGTATGAGATCACTCAGCTCTTGTTTAGACTAGAAATGTGAGTGGTTCATGGTCCAGGATTCAATCAACAACAACCAGTCATGTGACCTGGGACAAACTTTCTTTATTGCAACATGTAAACTAAAGGGTCCCAGTCAATCATACAACAGAGTAAATATAAAGCAATGATTTTTTTTTTCAAACTTTGGGAAAATCACTACAATCTATTTGACTAAAGAAAGTAAACTGTTCCAAAAACAAGAAAGAGAACAAAAGCTACAGAAGGGTCATTCTAATACGCTACCCTTCAACATGTTGTATTGCCATCATAACATTATATGTACTACATTTTGATTCTCGCCAGGTTTAAAGCCAGATATAGTTAAGATGTTTAGTCATTGAATGTGGCAACTGCCAACATTACGCATGATTATTGTTCGGAAAAAGGTTTTACCCATCAAGCAAGTTAAGCTGATATACATGTACCTGTACCAACATGTTTTTTCTCTACTAAATGATTAGTATAGAATCTACTGAAAAGATATATTCAACGTATATGTAAATCATTTATCTAGAAACAAACTTTTAAACTTTTCCTTAGTATTTACTGCATTTGTGGCATTTGTACCATATGCCACCTTTGATGATATAGATCTAGTTCTGTATGAAAATAAAAGACAGCAAGAAAATTATATGTACTGTTTCTAGGACTGAGCCATTAGATGATTCTTGTGGTGTACCCTAAATCTGATAATTTATAACATAGTGGTATCTTTTATTTGAATACTGTCTAGTCATGTTCTGTGATTGCTGCTAACAGTGACACTGAAAATGGTGAATGAATTTGTGGCATCAATGACATCCTCTATGAGTGATATAGAGTAAATGTTCTCACCTTATATGGTACATGCTATAATGCACACAAAAAATAAACTTTAGAACTAACAAGAAGATGTCTGTTCTGTCACTTAATCAGATACAGCCAGTCAGTATCAATACAGAAATTATGCCCAAGTGACTAACAATCAAATTTCAGCATCATGTCATGAACATCTGGCCACACCTACTTCAAAATAGCCAATCACTGCTGTTCAAGTAAACATACACTCTGGAATGATTGACGTTCTTAATACAGTCACACTTTAATGGAGGCGTTCTACATAAGCTTGCTATTTCCTGAGAATTAATGGCCATGTTTTACACGTGATTGGATATTCCAGATTGGCAATTATTACAACAAAGGAAGTTGAGACTTAAACGTGATGAAATGTGGATGATGCTGTGTTGAGATCTAGTCCAGTTCTTGCTCCAGTGCTTCTTCACTCACTTGTTTGTTGCCGGGTGAGTGTGAGTCTGCCATGTTGTCTAACACTAGTCCAGTTCTTGCTCCAGTGCTTCTTCACTGATTTCTTTGTTCCCAGGTGATTGTGCGTCTGCCATGTTATCTAACACCCACTCCAGCCCCTCCAGGCCTGTGGTATCAGGCACAGCCAGACCCTGCTCCACCAGGGACTGAACCACCAGACGGGGTTTGGGGCTGATGCTTTCAAACAGGAGGAGGGAGGGAGGGGGGCCTGGGTCCTGGGAACACATCAGGACATTAGGAAGTACATGAACAATGATGCAAAGGGTACAATAGGCCCCACTAAGTTTTCCTTTGGTTCTGGGAAATTTTGGAGTAAAAACTTAGCAAGAGGTCCAGATGAGTGTTCGGAGGATAATCTAAATCTGATTATCCGAGATTCACTTTCAACATTTTACAGTCAACTTTGACATTTTAAAATAAAAATCTCGTAACATAAAGCAAAATTCTGAGAGGAAAATCTGACTTTGATTTAACAATCATATTCACTCCCTAAAACTGTGTCAACCAATTTCACCCCCCAAACTTTGTCCTCAGAATTTGCCCTCGCACTGTTTTCATGTTAATTTTTGATTTTACCATTTTTTTGGAGTCAAAATCTGAGAATCAAGTTGGTGTGGCCTTACAAGATAGCAAAACAAGTAGCAAAACCTTCTGCTTCCTTGCTTCCTCATGGCAATACTCACTGGTGCTACTACATCCCTGGCTCATACATGTATTAGCCTTAAGATTCACCCTTAATATTAGCCCCGTTCTAGTTTGGCAGTCTTGGTTGTATATATCTTCAACCAAAAGAAAAGATAAATAAGATAATTCCTGTTAAGCATGTTTACCTTGATACAGGCTGTGAGCACCTTGTTGTCCACGGCTGTTATCATGGCCTTGAGGGCATGGTGTGTCCAGTTGCTCTCCGGGAGCAGGCCGGACTCCTGACCGGTCAGTTCTACAGGCTGGACACCCAGAAGGGTACACTTGGTGGCCTGCATGGGTAAGGTCTGGTAACGCTCAGGCAGCTGCTTCAGTCTGGAGGGGTACAGTACAGTATGACTCAACAAGCACTGGAAACTGTTAGTGTAAGAAACCATTTCAACTCTATGTTTGTCATTTTGTAAGAGCCATACAGGCTCTTGCAGAATGTGACCCAGTAGATGAATTGGTTAGGTGCTGGTAGACATCAGAAACACTTACAATTTTCCCACACTATACTGCAAATTCAGGTCATATTTAGAGCCCTGGGTGTGACTACTGTCAGGATACAAATGGAAACACTAGAAAGATAACATTTGCAAAGCAAATGCATAATGTTTACTTTCACATGCATGGTCTAGCAGCTCTACCCCAACAAACTATACATATCTACTGCTCTTTTTTTCTTACAAAAAGCACATTCATTATATAATATGTGAAGAGCAGCCCCTCCAACTCTGTCCTGCCACATGATGTAACCCAACACCACAGGGTGTCAGCTACAGAGTGTTCTAGTTACTGATCTAATACAGAGTGTTCAACTTCTTCTCGCTTTTTTGTACAATGGAAAATGTGGGAACAGATCATGGTTGTGATACAGGGTTTGTCTAGACGCATCAGAAATATAAATCTATCATTAGCACTTAGGTGTTCGAAGTATGGGAACTTCTCTTTGATATGATTAAAAAGCAGTTACCATGGTGACAGACTCTGCTCTTCGTCAATGACTTTATTTGTTTGGAAAAGAAGAAGAAACGGGGCAAAACCAATAAGTTTTCCTTCTGTGAAGGTAAACATAACTAACCTATCAGCCATGAGGAGTTCAGAGGTGCCATAGTCCACATACAGGACCCAGACAGCCAGAGGGTCCAGGGACTGCACACTGATGACTTGTGCACGGTACCAGCTGTCATCCATGGTGTAACAGGCACAGCAGGCCATCCCTTCACACAACACTCAAGGTAAAACAACTCTGTCAAGCACAGACCTACAGCTAGCTTAGATGTACATGTGTGCAAAGAATTATGCTTAATAAAATGGTTGTGGCAATGAATATACATAGCAGTTAATGTCCTTTGATAGTAATCATCATCATCATAGTATGTCTACTTTGAGTTCAACATAAGCATACTTTAAGAGTAAATTTAGTTTATAAAATTGAAATTGTCTTCACCACAAAAAATGGAACTCTTAAATTTTCTATCCAGTAGATAAAACATAATAAGGTCAACATTTAATAGCTACATGTACATGTACACTGTATATTATGTGTGTAACTTCAATGAAATAAAATTATAATGATTCTATTTTTGAATAAGTTACTTAAAAGTTTTATGACAATATGAGTTTTAAATAAATTTTATCTAAAAGTATGAAGTGCCTAACAGTATCAAATCACACAACTAACATCTACTGTACTTACTCTGTACCTATGCCCTGAATGGTTTCACCTACCAGCTATAATATTGTCCAGTGGATGGAAAGTGTCGACTTGGGCCACTATCTCGTCAGTAATGGTCTCCAGCATCTGGAGCTGGTGCTGAGTCTCTGCTAGTGTAGGGTCATCTTCATTATCTTTACCATCATCAGCAGACATAACACGCTGGAAATACATCTGGGGAGAAAAATGGTCAAACTGTCACATCTTTGTCCCCATTCTTTCCACCAAGAATACTGGTTTGAAATGAGATCTATTCACTGCTTAAAGTTATGCTGTCCATATACACAACCATAAATAAATGTGTGAATGTCATACAATGTCAATGAAGGTTGGACATCCAGGTAATGACGTACCCAAGAAAATTGTTACTCGAGCAACTGGATGGATTTTGAAAGCTGTTCGATATTTCAAGTAGCATCCACTATATTTAGTTGGTCACTGACAAAAAATAGTGGATGCTACTTGAAACTCTGAGTGTTCAAAATCTATCTAGTTGCTCGAGTAACAATTTCCTTGTGAATGCCATACAATGTACACAGTTGAAAACCTTACTCTATTGGAGGCAATATTTATAATCTAAGACAACACTAACTTGTTGTACACATACATACATAATCATACTCTAATGAGTTGAAGCATTAACATAGTTCAGCTTGCAGCGTTTTCTGTCATACGTTGTTTCTATGAGTTGTGAAGAGTGTTTTACCTGGTTGGGCTGGTCCACATGTGTGATGTTGATTTTGAAGTGTTGACCGGGTGGAGGCAGTATGGCGGGGGTGAAGGGTGGACAGTACGCCGCGTCATCCTCATCACAACAGCTGTCGTCGTCTGACGGGGTCTGGTAGCCCCGCTCTTCTGCCGGCACGCCCTTCAGAGCAGCTAACCTCTGGGGGGACCTCTGAACTGCCTTCAGGCTGTCCAACAGTTCAGTCACCTCCTCTCCAGCTGTACATTCAACAAGTCTTATTAAGTCCCATGTTTGAGGAGAGCCACACCTCAACCATGTTAAAAATCCCACCACATTTATCGAAATGAGCAGGGGTCCTTCCCGGTATGAGTGGTTCAGACCTTACAGTCTGGTCTCAGGTTTGACATCTTGAGGAGGTGATAGTCACCTGTTACGATAACCATTCCACAAATATGGCAAAGCTTCATGAATAGATAAATAATAACAATAAACATGTAGGTGATGGTGTAAACTGAAGCATTGTAGACTAATGGTTATAAAACCTCCCACACCCTGTATTCACAGTTTCCTATGTGCAATGTAAGACTTGCATGGTTGGACTAACCTGGGTACATGAGTTCTCCACAAGGTTTTTTCCCTGGTGCTGCCAGTCCTCTGTTCACCATCATCTCTCCCACATTCTGTCCATCCCCCAGTACCAGCTCCACACGCAGGGGGCCTTTAGACGGCTTACTCTGCAAGACATATAACATAAAATAAACCTGTTTATTAGATTCCATGTACTAAGTACTGATGAATGAATGAACATCTTTAGTGTACATGAATACCCACATGGTTATCCAAAGGTTTTAACAAAGGAATAACTTGTATATACATGTATGCATACACATGATCACCCTAGTACATTTTTTGTACTAGCAGTATAGTCTGCTACTAGTAACTAAATTCAACTTTTCCTTGCTTCACTGTCATGGTAAACAGGTAAGTACAGACACAATTTAGGACCAGAGGTTTGTTGAGAAGGAGGAGATCACAGCCAGATGGACTGAATACTGCCGGGAGCTGTATAACCACCAGTCGCAGGGCGACCCAGCGGTTCTTGTGGCTCAAGAACCTGCCATAGATGACAACTTTCCCATCCTGAAAGAGGAAGTGGAGGCAGCAATAAAGTCCCTCAAGAATGGGAAGTCACCCGGGGTGGACAACGTTCCTGCAGAACTAATCAAGAACAGTGGAGAAACAACAGTTGAACTACTGACTAAAATATGCAACAAGATATGGGAAACAGGAAATTTGGCCAAACACCCTGGACACAGTCACTTATTA